CATCTCGTCTCGCCTAGAAACCTGAAACCCAGGAAACTGTGGCACCGCGTGGCGACACATGGTGGTTTGTCGACAGAAGTCGGTTGCAAACAGGGGAGCTGTCGACGGATCCGAGCTACAAGTGTTGCCCTCGAGACCGTTGCTCCGAGGGGTGTCTGGGTCAAAAGAGACCCCCGGCCCTGGCAACAGGCAGCCAATCGGATAGCACGACTGCCCCCATCCGTCCGTGGTCGGAGGCTGACAGTCACCAACAGTCGTCGAGCCTGTAGATGCCATTTCATTTGGCCTCTCTGAATGACGCTTCGTCTGCTCGTCTGGCATGCCGACAAGCTGAGAAGTCGACTGGGCATACAGGAACCGGCCGGCCTGACCAGCCTCGCCGGTGTAGAGCGCAGACGAGGCGTTACCGAGTTGGGGAAAATGATGTTGGACCAAAGGAAGCTGCTTTATGGGACCAGCTCCGGCCGACAGTCGACTGGGCACCGCGTAAACGTGCGAGCAAGTGGGCCGGCCGTTGCCAAGGAAACTGCCGCCGGAAGTGGTCAGACCGGCGGTGTTCCCTTGGCGGAGACCATCGCTGTCGGCGTTGGGATGGTCGAAGGACAAAGAGGTGGGAACGAGAGCAGAGGATGTGGGGACGGTTGTGATTGTGGTGCCGGTAGGGTTGTCAGCCGATGTCAGGGTCACAGTCAAGGCGACTGGGTTCTGGGGGACGAGGCTGGTCTGTATGGTTGGCTGATTGTGCAAGATTGCGTCGTGTTGCCTCGAGTTTACGGTCGGATGATGGGCAGAAGCGTTGACAGACCGCAGCTGCTGATTCTGCCGAGGCAGCTGGGCTGAAATGCTGCCGGACGGCAACGGCAACGGCAACGGCTGAGGCAGGAAGCCCCAAAAGTTGCCGTTCGGACGAGTGAGGTGAAAACCGACGCTTCCGGCAGCCGGTGGAGACAAAATGTTGTTGCCGAGGGGCTGAATAGGTCCGGTGGCGTTGGACATGCCGGATACGGTGGTTACAACATTAGCATCAACGCCGGCATAATTTGAGCCGATGAATCGGTAGATGGGGGTCAGTTGACCGTGCCCTTTGCTGGTTGGAAGAAGGAAAGAGCTCAGTTTAACAGGATGCGCGGTAACCGAACGCGTCATCAATCCATGTCGGCTGCCTTGAATCGGGCTCTGGTGAACAAAGGAGGGTGCGGAAATGCGGAGAATAAGAGAAGAGAAGAAGAGACAAAATTCTATTCCCCCCCTTTGATAAAAGCATACTATCTCTTCTCTGAGGGAAAAGCATTTCATATTCGAATATGCCAAAATTCTTAACATGCGCTCATTATTAATCTAGCTAAATCAACTAAATCATCCATCAATTCAAGCTCATTCACTAAAATATGTTACAAATAAAGAAAATATATTACAATATATCCATAAATAAGCAAATAAAAACAGCTGAATAGATGTATATATATATATATATATATACAATTATAAAACCCAACTTTCTTCGCATAGCCTAGGTTACTAATATATATAAAGCGACAAAAGAATTCATATTATATCTCAATATATATATATATATCTCCAACAAGTAATGCATTAAAATTAACGGCAAAAGTGGCTTCACAATGTTGAAATATTATTTGAATTCTTTTGTCGCTTTATATATATTAGTAACCTAGGCTATGCGAAGAAAGTTGGGTTTTATAATTGTTGAGCATACCTCCATTTTGAGTGAAAGTGTTAAGTGGAGAAATTCGAAGGTCGATTCCATCAGAAGATGACTCGTTGGCTTGAATTTAATCGTAGCGATGATACTCTCAGATAAAAGCATCGAAAAGTATTTATTTAAGTCATCAGGCGTAACTGATATATATATGCTAATAAATGTTTGTTTAAATAGTTGCCAGCTTGCTTCCGCAACTAGATTACCAATTGGTGAGCTTATTTTCATTTCGAGTGAAAATGTTTGGTTAAGAGATTCGAAGCTCAATTCCACCAGAAGTCGACGTGGGATTCTTCTTGATCAGTTTTCGATCGGCTTTACTAGAACATTCATGTTGACGCTGTTTCTGAGACAATTTGCTTCGATTCTGGTAAAAAGATGCTTAGCTTTCATCCTTCATACGATGAACATCATCAGAACAAAGTATCATCGCTACGACCAAATTTAAGCCAACGAGTCGTCTTCTGATGGAATCGACCTTCGAATCTCCCCATTTGACACCTTCACTCGAAATGGAAATGAGCTCAACAAGTATAAATTTCAACTTTCTTCGCATAACTTAGGTTACTAATATATATAAAGCGACAAAAGAATTGATATGACATCTCAACATTGTGAAGCCACTTTTACCGTTAATTTTAATGCATTACTTGTTGGACATATTGTTAAACTAAAGTGCTTGCTTTATGGGTTCATGATGCAAGGAAATACATCAAATTCAATAATCTAGATACGAAGGTCAAGATGTTGTGCCTCTATTTTTGAGTTAGTTTCCTTTCCATGTATTAATGTGGTTTGAACTCGTTTTCGCAATTCGGCTGCGTTGTCAGGGCAACTTAGTTGGAAGCGCATTGCTCGAAGTATTCTGCTACAGTAATTACCATAATTCCCCAGGTCCGACAACAAACTTGGTGCATTCTCAGACGTTTCGTCGGAATCTTAGTCGGCATCGTCAGGAAGTCTTGCCATTAACAGCACCAAGCTAAAATTCGTTCAATGGACTTAGTGCTAAGACTGGAAAGGTTCACTGACGGTGCCGACTACGACGCCGGAGAAGCGCCAGAGAATGCACCAATTCCAAGGTCCGAAGCTTGGAAATAGGATAACTACTATAGGAGAAGACTTCGGATAAGATTAATCCAACTAAGTCTCCTTGGCAATACGACCAAGTGGCGAGAACGAAGCCAGCTCGCTTTAATAATCTGGTTCACTAAAATGGAATTTGTTCAAATAAATTTAGAGCGATTAGAAAAAGAATGCTCCAGTAAAGCCAATCGACAGCTGATCAAGAGGAATCCGTCGTCGTCGTCTGGTGAGATCGAGCTCCGAATATTTTCACGATATACTTTCACCTGAAATGGAAATCAGCTCAGCAATAATGAAACAAGAAATTCCTCGTAACCTAACTTTTCTTCGCATATATTAATTTTAGGCTCTACCCAATAGTCGCAAATCCCAATTAGTCTCTTTCTGTTTTTAAGAGGGCCGAGTTCAAAAGTTCTTTCCTTCAACTTTTCCTAGGACTATGAAGTTAGATGTGAATTTGAAGTAAGTGCAGCGTCACTAATTGGGAAGCTCATGCATTCTTTCCAAATAGCGTTCTATGCATAATTTAGCACTCGATAGGAAGTCATCTTTAAAAACTTAGCTGAAAGTAACCATATGGCCGAAGTACTTTTGATAGGATTCGCTAAAGTTTTGCGAAGTTGGGGGATGTATAAATAAGTTTGCTTTCTAGTTGATTTGAGCATTAAACTATCAGTTACGCTTGATGACTTAAATGAATACTTTTCGATGCTTTTATTGGCAGTAATCATATGCTATTAGTAAAAGGTGATGCATCCAACTATATTTTCATATTGAGGACTCCACTTAAGTGTATTCACCCTATTTCGTTTACGGTGATGAAGGAGTGGTAGTTGAAT